TTCTTCTTCTTCGTCGCTCTCGCCTGCAACAGTGACTTCTTCTTCTTCGTCTTCTTTGTGCTTTTGGAGGATTACAAACACGATTTAAAGTTGCATACCGCCACCTAGTGTACCGGAGTATTTAGAAGGGACGCAGTTTTACAAGATCATTTAACATAATAATAATAATAATAATAATAATAATAATAAGGAGAAGAAGAAGAAACATGGAAAAAAAAGTAAATCAATAAAAACCCATGTAATAATGTCTTTGTCTATATATTAGAATTTTAAAAATACGTTAGGGCTGTCAGCATTAACTAGTTCAGGTTTTCCCAAACATTTCAGCTCAGGACCCTCAAAATAACTGTGCTAGAGACCGGGGAGCCCAATAACTCATATATGGCATGATAAGTGAGCAATACAATATATAATGTGGGCATTTTTTATTTAATAGATCAAGTAATGAATGTCAATAGATTAAGACAAATTTCGTTTGATGTATTCTATGTGTGGCTTCCAACAAAGTTTATGATCTATGATCACTACTAGAAAGTTTGTTTCATAAACTCTATTTATTTTAATTCCATTTAATTTAATTTGTATTTTAAAGTCAACCCTATCACCACCAAACACCATACATGTTGTTTTTTCTTCATTTAGTGATCACTTATTCATATCAAACCAGTTTTCTTAACTTCCTCAGTTCGGTTTCAAATTTTTTCAATAATTCAGTCATGTACTCTCCAAAACAAAATAAATGTGTATCATGTAACACATTTTAACATATTAAGAACCTCTACAAAGATCATTTAAATAAAGTATAAATAACTTGGGGCCTAATATTGATCCTTGTGGTACACCACAAGTAACTTTTCTAAGGTGAGATTCAGTGTTATTAAATTTTACATATTGTAACCTATTTTCTAAGTACCTTCCTAACCAATGTCTTGCAACACCTCTTATAACATAGTTTTCAAGTTTCTGCAAAAGTAAAGTATGGTCAATTGTGTCAAACACTTTACTTAAATCAATAAACACACACACTGTGTGTTGTTTTTATCAACTGCTGTACCTACAGTAATGAGAGTGGATTACAATAATTCTGACTGTAGAATAACATGCTTCACTTCTGTAATACTCACAGTCAACAGTAGATGGCGACAACTGATGTGATCCTAAAACCCTTACAGGGGTTCCCATCCTTTTTCTGTCGGCTCCCCGTTGTCAGATGATTAAATATTTTCAAGCCCCCTACCACCCCCACCCCCACTCCATACCATACACATTGACACATAAACAGTCAAATCTGTTTAAAGCAATGACTGTTGTCACATCTTAAAAATTGTGAAGTTTCATTTTTCATTTTTCAGCATTTTTCCTCTGTAACAATTAGCTTGTTTGATGTCACACTGAAGTTTCTATTCTGCACTTTCTGCAGACGATGTTTGAGATCAACTCTAAAAATAAAGGAACCTGTTAGTGAAGAGCGACTGACTGAGTGTGATAATGGTATCGATTTATGTGTATGTGTTGATGTGAGGGGTGGGAGTGTCATGGTTTACTCGGTTATGACTTCCTGTTTTATTTTATCTTTTATATCCTTGTGTTTCTCTGTTTCCTGTATTTTTTTTGATGATAATCCTGAGGCTAGTTTTCAGTGTTTCTTGTCTTATTTTTTGTAGTTTTATCCCCCTGTGTATCATGTCTAATGTTTCTCCCTGCCTCTGTGTGTCCCTCTACTTTTGATCGCCCTCATTGTCCTCACCTGGGTCTTGTTAGTCCCACCTGTGTTTGATTGTATATTTAGTCTATCTGTTTCTTCCCTTCTGTGTCAGTTTATTCATCTACCTACCCGTGGTCATATAAGTGCTCCTGCCCCGTCCTGTGTGGATTCCTGCCTGTGGTCCCTGTTTTCACGTATGGTTTTTGTTTTGCTGAAGTTTTAAGTTGGACTTTCTGGCCTGACAGAAAAAGTTTGGGGACCACTGCCTTGCATGATTGTATGCTTGTATGTTTTAGTTTCACACTCGTATCACTTCTGACTTCTCCTTCTAAAGGCAAGATAAGAACTCACTTTAAAAGCACGTGTCGAGAGTAAAGGAGGAAGTTGATTGCATTATTGTAATTTCTAAACCTTGTGAAACAGGGTGACCATGCATTCTGTGAAGGTGGTTAACTGTATCTGAATGTTTTTACTTAATGTTCCAAAGTCTGTAATGCATGGTTGTCATAGTGCGGGGGGAAAGTGGGACCGACTACCCTGGGCCCTGATGGAGAAAGGGGCCCTGTGCTGTGTAGGGCTGTACTAAAAAACACAATGCTTATGATGTCAGGTGATCCACAATAATTTTCAGTGTTAAGATAAGGGACGTAAACAAAGAACTGTTTCTGAATCAGAAATGCTTTATTTATCACCAGAGACACAGTTCAAGGTTCAGGGCTGTCTTTCTTATCCCTGTGAGAGGTCAATTTGTTTTGCAGCAGTAAAACATCCAACAAACATATAACATAATGAGTGCTTCCTGTCGCTATAACCAGATCCGCTGTGGTTGTGTTGCAGCTGAAGTCTGTGGTGCAGAGGGTGAAGAGTAAGAGAGAGAAGGTCACTCTGTCTGACACACAGTGTTGTAGGCGCACATACTGCGGCTGCCAGTCAGATAATCAACAATCCAGGACACACAAGGAGCATCCCCCTACATCACCAGCAGACCCTCACCCACAGACAGCCAGATGGTGTCGAAAGCTCTGCAGAAGATAAAACCCAAAAACCTCACAGTTCTCTCTGGCCGAGTGTAGACCCGGTTGAGCAGGAACGAGATGGCATCAAAGTCAGCTCTTGGGTCAGTTGTCACTCAGTGGGAATGTGGACCTAGTAAAGTTCCCCGTACATGAACGTACAGGAAAAAAGTAATGTTTATTATACCTCTGGAACAGGACGTTTCAGGTTTTAATTGATTTCAGCTTGCTGTTAGGAGGTCCACAAATATGTGCAATGAGGCGGAAGCTTCCAGCCCACATGTGTTTCTTCTAGTTATAAAGAGGAAGTCACAAGATAAGTGGTGAACAGTTAACGACTTTGAAATGTTCCTCCCTCTTTGCCTGGAACGAAGACAGAACAACAAATGAATCTACAGCAGCCAGGCGACTATGTCAAGATCAAATCAAATCCAATCAAGGAAGGCTAGTTCAAAATTCTGATAAAACATATTATTGTTGTATTTCCTATTTTCTTTAAAGGTCATATATGATGCAAAATCCACTTCTCCATATTCCTCTAACACTAACATGTGTCCCTATGAGTAAAGTCTCCATCTTTTTCCTGCTCCACTTTACAGAAAATGTGTGCTCAAACAGGCTGTTAGGCGACTTTCCCTTCATGGCATCACAAAGGGCAGTAACCCCTCCCCCAGGGATCATGAGAAGGGTCATCAGCCCCCCCACATCCACTGGCTACTTCACCATGTTTTTGTAACGCTAATATGTGTCTCTGGTCTGTCTACAAACCCCCAAAAATGTGTGCTCAAACAGACGGTTTGGAGATTTTCCCTTCATGATATCACAAAGTGCAGTAGCCCCTCTCCCAGGTGGGTGACACTCCCACAGATAGGTGTTTGTTCTGCCCTCTGAGTCTGTCGAGACCTTCCAGAGAGGGGCGTGGTCAGATACAGCTCATTTACATTTAAAGGTACAGACACAGAAACAGCCTGTTCTGAGCAGGGCTGAAATAGAGGGGTTTATAGACATGATCAAATACAGGATCAGAGTGGATTTAGAACAAGACACTTCACACACATGTTTTGAGGAGCTCTGAGACTAATTTACACTGGTTGAAGAGGAGGAGAATATGTGACCTTTAAGAAAGATTGCAAAAAGATGATATGATCACATTAAACCACTCAGAAAAGAAAAAAACAAAACATGTAACAGTGGGACTAATGCTCTGCCATGTGAGTAGTGTGCTATGTGAAAAAAAACGGTGAACAACCTCATTGAGATTAAAAATCTCTTTTTTAAGAGCAGCACAGGTAACAAACAACGAGAAGTCAAACTTACAAACAAATAGCAAATATGTGTCAATATCGACTACGATCATAAATATATCAGATGTGTTGATCTCCATTTACAAACACTTATAATCATCCAATGAGAGAAGCTTGTTCGGTTTTACGTCTTTGTAATACGTTCCAAGCAAAGTGAGCAGTGAACTTAAACACCTTTTCCTCCAGTTCAGTTCTGACATTTGGAACAGAGAATAAGAAAAGATCCTGAGAACAAATATTAGAAGTTCCTGGACTCTTCTGACTAATGTAGGTCAGAAGGTCTGACGGTTGTGATTACTCGATGTAAATGGTAAATGGACTTGAGCTTGTATATTTCTTTTTCTAGTCCTCTGGCTACTCAGAGTGCTTTTTTCACCGCAGGTCACACCTACACATTCACACCCTGAGGCTGCTGAGTAAAGAGTCCATCAGTATTAACTCATCACATTCACATGCTGCCAACAAAGCAGCAGGAGTAACTTGAGGTTAAGAGTTTTGCTGAAGGACACATCAGACATGTGGCTGCAGGAGCCGGAGATCAAACCCCCGACCTTCTGGTTGATAGACAACCGACTCTACTACTGAGCCACAGCCACCTGTCTTATACTGAACAATAACAACCTTTGTAATGGAAAATGCATTTTCTTGATGTGCTAAAATAAAGCTATTGTGAACCTTTCTGTGAGACTAAAGTAACGCTTTTCAGGTCACACTGGCCCGTGCACATCCTGTTTATCAGAGGCCTCTGTAAGACTCATGCTTTTCCAGGATACTCCTGTGAACATCTGCATTTCTTTTGTCTTAAGGAACATGAATTTTCTAGGCTTTGCTTAGTGTTAATAGTGTTAAACAACAACAGAGTTTGTCTATATCCACCCCTTTGACACAATGTGTTAAAGTGTGTTAAAGTGTGTGTGTGTGTGTGAGAGAGTGTGAGAGTGAGTGTGAGTGTGTGAGCATATGACCAACCCATAGTGGGCCGATCCTCTATGCCTCTGTCAGAGTCCTCAAGACTCAGAGGAGACACACAGGAGAGTCCTCTGACAACCACAGACATGGAATAAACTGAAACATCAGCAACACGTAAGTGAAGCTCTCTTTTGTCACCATGTTAGTGATGGCAGCAGATTTGACAGCTGATTTGTTTTTTACCAGTCTGATACATCCATAACAGTATCATGCAGAGCTTAACTTTCTATGGTTCCTCTTTCTGATGCACAATCGTCTCACTGTTTTCATAAACTGACTCTAAACAGGGCTAAATGCATGACTCTGCTCCTTCTTTCTGGAATCACATGAAACTGTCCAATAATTCAGTCATTTTTTAAGATGAAATACAATCTTTACCAAACAGTTTCCTTCTCCTTTCTTTGATGTTTTCCACAGTAAGTTTGCAACTATTTGCACACAGTTGTGTCACAGGGTTGTTTCTTAAGTGCTTCAACAACGTACATTACTAACTAGATTACATGTGAGGCACAGGACATCAGGACGTGTGGGACACTTCTCACACACAGTAGGATAGACACAGTCACTTTGTGTTCAATATTTTTTTTTTTTATTGTTTTATATTTTTGCTTTTGCAGTTTTACAAAGAGTGAATTCATAATACATGGCTATATGTAAAAAAATAAATACATTTGGCAGACAAGCCAAAGAGGAATTTGTGTTTTGAGAGATGGAACAGGGAAAACTGGAGACACAGGACAGATGGGGCAAAAGCCAGATAGAAAAATAAAATAAAATCCAGGCAAGAATGGTGGGGTCATGCTGATTTATCTAGACGTACTGCACATTATGGTTTGCTGTAGTTTTAGTAACAAACAAGAAAAGAAACAATGTTTATAAATAAAAGAACAAAATAAAAATAAAAATGAATAAATTGAAATAAAAAACAGCAGTAAAAGACAAAAATAGTATATACATGGTTAAATTGGACAAATGCTAATGATGGAACAATGTAATAAAATGATATGAGGAGTACAGGAGGAGCTGTTTGTGGAAGTTAGGAGTATTTAAAATATTAAAAATGAAAGTCAAATAGAAAAACCTGTTAGGCTGTGTATCCTGTTACAGGTTTATTCTGTGCCCAGCTTCATCAAGTTGTCTTAATACAGTCGCTGCTAAAGTGTGCACACGCTGCAATATACTGGTGAACTATTTCCTCTAAATCCAAACCATTCATTCTCCATTTACAGGTGACTCAGAGCTGCCCACTATGGAGCCTGAGGTATCAGTGTCGACCCCCCCGGACAGGGGCTGGACCCCGGACTCCAATGAGGGTCTTCATTATGGTTCTTTTGCAAACAGCCTCGCATCACTCACACACCAGGCACCAGAGAGGATCACACCGAGACAGGCTAAGATCGCTGTAGCTGTGCTCTGCTACATCAACCTCATCAACTACATGGAGCGTTACACCATCGCAGGTGAGATGAGGTGCATGAGGAACAAACAAACATAAAACATTTACTTCTGCTGCTCAGGTGCATTTTTTGTTTTTTAACTGTCACATACTGTAGGTGTCCTGCTCAATCTGCAGAAATTCTTTGATATAAGTGACAGTACAGCTGCACTCCTGCAAACAGGTATGATCAACAGACACACTCAAACATCTTCTCTTTGGTTTTCACAGCAACAATGCATGCAACGCTTAGCAGGACAACGAGAGTGGGTGCTGTTAGATGGGGCCCCCTTAGGAAGGTTTCCTACTCTCATTGCAAAATCTGCACATTTTGGGCCCCTGCTTTGTTTAAGTTTGTGAGCCCTCAGGGGGCCCCCTACTGGTCTTGGGCCCTTGACAAGCAGCGCCTCTGTTCCTGGTGAATGAAGGTTAAATAAAAATATGTTGTTGTACTCCCAGCAAGCTACTGACATATGCGGTTATAACAGACTACTGGTTCAGTTCCATGCATTTCACTCTTCAGCAGCATTTCACACAATGGAAGGATTGTAGAGGAGAAACTATGTGAGTGGAGGAGAGTCGGCCTAAATATCAGAATGTGTTATTGCTTTTAACAAAAACACATTTATTATTTTATAGATTGTTTGGTTTTATTCTGCAAGATGACTTCATGGAACATGTGCTGCAAGTGAACTGCAAAAATCAATGCAAAGCACTGCTGGATGTGAAGACAGAAGTATAAAATTAGACACCTGCAAGCACGCACACACACACACACACACACACACACACACACACACACACACTATACGTGTGGTACTTCACTATTCTGAATGAATAGTGAAGATCTGTGCCTCGACAGCCTGATATGTTCATGCAGGAGTTGTATAAGTTGCATCAGGACTTCTGGTCACACTGTCAACTCAGACTTGGTTCTTATCTTACAGTCTTCATCTGCAGTTTCCTACTTCTGGCCCCTCTCTTTGGTTACCTTGGTGACCGCTACAACAGGAAGTACCTCATGATTGGTGGGCTGAGCGTGTGGCTCATCATGGGAGCAGCCAGCTCTTTGGTCACTGAGTCGGTGGGTAAGAAAAAGATGTGTTCACAAACACGTTACAAGAGTTAAAACACAACAAGAACACACAATGCCACATCCTGCCGCCTGTCGTAAGACTCTTCTTCCTCTTCCTATGTGACTGAATAAAGTTTTACTTGTTCAGGAAACGTATCCTTAGAGGTTGAAACATGCCAACAGAGGCTACACTTTAATATGAAAGTCAAACAGAGAAATCCTGTTCCATTCTACAGTTTCTATTCATAATTCATATGTCATTATGAATTTATTGTCCATGTTCGGGCAGTAGGAATGCTGCCTGTTAAACTCGTGGTATCACTCCTGCAGCTTTTCTGGCTGCTGATGCTGCTGCGAGCCATGGTCGGGATCGGAGAGGCCAGTTACTCCTCCATCGCTCCCACCATCATCGGTGATCTCTTCACAGGGGCTCAACGGAGCGTCGTGATCTGTATATTCTACATCTTCATCCCTATTGGAAGGTTAGCGTTATACTGTCGATTGTTCTGAAACAAGAAAAGGGGCAAAAAAATCCAATATTTGAGACTCAAAGGTCAACTTCAGGAAGCAGGGATTTATTTAGTCTGTCAGTGTGTGACGTAAGGGCATACCTGATTGAACATCTCAGAGCAGGGGTTGTGTCCATCAACCTCTTGGATGTGCTAAAATCTGAAATCTTCAGGACGCCGCTGGAGGTGTTGATGAGAGCGTTATATCACCCTGTGTATCAGAGCAGAAATCAGCGAGAACAAATTCACCTGTACCCTAACTGAGAATCTGACTCTGTGATGGTTGAGACATTAGGCTATATGACATGCTTGCCAATCTTTGTAGGCAAAAAACACATTTGTAGGCAAAAACACATTTTTCTGACAATGCTTATATGAGCCTGTTGTTAAAGGTGACATATTCTCCTCCTCTTCAACCATTTTAAATAATTCTCAGAGCTCCTAAAAACATGTGTGTGAAGTTTCTTGTTCTAAATCCACTCTGATCCTGTATTTGATCATGTCTATAAACCCCTCTATTTCAGCCCTGCTCAGAACAGGCTGTTTCTGTGTCTGTACCTTTAAATGTAAATGAGCTGTGTCTGACCACGCCCCCTCTCTGGAAGGGCTTGGGTGTACTCGGGCTTTCTCGCTCCATGTCCTATTCTTTACCGTGAGAAGGCAGACTCAGAGGGCAGAACAAACACCTAGCTGTGGGAGTGTCACCCACCTGGGGGAGGGGTTACTGCCCTTTGTGATGTCATGAAGGGAAAATCTCCAAACCGCCTGTTTGAGCACAGATTTTTGATGGTTTGTAGACAGACCAGAGACACATATTAGCATTAGAAAAACATGGTGAAGTAGCCGGTGGAGGGGGCTGATGACCCTTCTCACTGTGTGTGGCAGAGCTGATTTCAGTAAGTGTCAAAGCTGAGGAAAAAAAAAAGGTTATTTTACGTAATAAATTAAAGGGGGAGAGACAGGGTTATTTTTAGCCAAAGAGCTGTACAGGACATGTTAACCAGCAGCAGCCAGCAGCTCAGTTTGAATGCATTCATACCAAATCTAATTTAGTGCACACGGTCACAGGACAAGAGTTTTCAGAGCAAGGGATTCAGTGCAGACCGTTCAAACTGAGATGCTGCAATCCTTGAATTATGTATTCATTCCTTTCCTTATATTACTCACTATCCTTCGCCCATGTAACCATTACAACTTTTTCCGCTTTTGTTTACTTGTGTTCTGAACTGATAAAAACTTCTATTGTTGGTTTATGAGGCACTCGTTCCCCTGCAGAGGGTTCCAGGGGGCAGTTCAGGGCTGTTGGGGGCGATTTCAATCAGGAGAGACTTCAGTAAGAGTTTACAAATGTTTGTTTAACAGTTTAGGGAAAGATAAATGTTCTGTGGTGATTAGACTCCGTCATGATGTCTTCATGCACTCAAAGAGGTAGTGAGGCCGACAGCAGGATAGGTTACCCCCCTGATGGAGTCTCACTGGTGGTGGTGGTAGAGTGTATGATGTGATGAGGAGTGAGTTTCTGAGGCTGGATCTGAACTCTGCTGAGCTGGTATGGAGGTGACCTGGGCGGAGGAGGAGGGTCGCAGCGCTCGCATTGAAATGACATAATGACTGTTGAAGAGAGAGAATAGGTTTTAAAATGTGACCGCAGCAGGGTGATTTGTAATCATGGATTATTAGTGGTAAATTAAGTACCTTTTAAAGGTTTGAAGTGAAATCAAGACACAGTGAGGTTTGCTTTTTCTTAAAACACCAGTGGAGAGATCTCATAAATGGTATAACTTGTCTATAATCTGACAGTTAGCTGGTCTACTCTGTGTTTTCAGTGGTCTTGGGTACATCACAGGAGCAGGGATGGCTGCTCTCACAGAAGACTGGCGCTGGGCTCTCAGGGTGAGAATATTAACTTTAAAATAAATATCAGCTGAGCACTTTCACACATTCTTACATTTGTTTTTTTTTCCTTCTGTATTCTCAGATTACTCCCATCATGGGTGTAGTGGGACTTGTGTTGCTCGTCTTCTTGTGCCCAAACCCACCCAGGGGTGCTGCTGAAACTAACGGAGAAGGAGTCGAAGGGCAGAGCTCGTACCGGGAGGACGTCAAGTACCTGCTGAGAAAGTAAGACACTGAAACTAAAACTAGACGAGCTGTATGAACAGGAGCGATTGTAGGCTTTTGAAGGTCAATGAAAAAAAGTCAGATAAAGACCTAATTTATTTGCACAATGATAATATAATATAATTTGTCATCACAAGATATTATGTGGCATAAGATTTTTTTCTTTTTACTTTTTGAGACTTCAGGGACTCTGTAGTATTAGACTGCAAACTTCACAAGGGTGTGAATATGAATTCATTGATATATTCTGTCTCTCTTTTTGTGTAACTTTCACACTAGTAAAAGTTACGTGTGGTCAACTCTGGGAGTGACAGCGACGACCTTCCTCACTGGAGCCATGGCTTTCTGGATGCCAACTTTTCTGTCCAGAGCTCAGATCGCTCAGAATCTCAGACCACCGTGTGTGAAAGAGCCGTGCAATGCCACAGACAGGTGCAGCATGACCGCTAACAACAACACACACCAAACTTCTTTTACTCATTGTATTTTGAAATCACCACGGAGTATCAATAAAGCTTTATCTGCCTCTGCTCCACAGTTATATCTTTGGAGCTGTGACGGTGGTGACGGGCATTATGGGAGGTTGTCTTGGCACCGGTTTGTCCAGATGGTTTAGGGACAAGGTGCCGAATGTGGACCCCAGGATCTGTGCGGCGGGGCTGCTGGGATCAGCCCCCTGCCTCTTTGTTGTCATCTTCGTGGCGTCAGTAAACATCCCCACCACTTACGTAAGTGCCATGGCTGTATAATATTATTATAGCTCTACAGTTAGTAATGATGGTCTGTAATCAGAACGCTGTCGTCCAGGTAACATACTATAGTTCCTTTTACAACCTCAAAGAAGTCTCAGAGCTCCTCAAAACATGCGTGTGAAGTTTCTTGTTCTAAATCCACTCTGATCCTGTATTTGATCATGCCTATAAACCCCTCTATTTCAGCCCTGCTCAGAACAGGCTGTTTCTGTGTCTGTACCTTTAAATATGTAAATGAATGAATGAAATATGATGTGATAATGAATGCATCTCTGAGTAAAGGTCTTTGAGCTCCAACAAAATGTTCAAACTAGCTAATAAAGAAAATGTGAAAAAGTGAAAACCCAAAAGGATTATTAACCAATCACTTTACTGGATTCACTGCTTAAATGTCTCATTTCAGGTGTTCATTTTCTTAGGTGAACTGTTGATTTCACTGAACTGGGCTGTCATGGCTGACATCCTGCTGGTGAGTTTTCTTGTTTCTCCGTGAGATAAAAAATATGTAAGCGTCTGCTGAAATTTGAAGCCAACAGGTCGTTTTTTGTTACTGTGTGTTTTAGTACGTTGTTGTACCGACCAGGCGAGCCACAGCCGAGGCTCTCCAGATTTCAGTCGGTCATCTCCTGGGTGACGCCGGAAGTCCTTACCTTGTAGGAGTGGTGAGAAATGCTTCAACTTCCATCATAGCGCTGTATACTTGAGTACTTCTTTTGTGTATGTTTGAAGACTTATCCTGTATCCTGTACCTTTAGATATCTGACGCTGTAAGCAGATCTGATCCTACCAGTCACATCTGGAGCTTCCAAAGTCTGAAGTACAGCCTGCTGGTCTGCCCGTTGGTCGGGGTCCTTGGTGGAGTGTTTTTCTCCATGGCAGCTCTCTACATCACTGAAGACAAGAAGGCAGCTCTGCGATTGGTTGAAGGTACACAAACTGACAGATACTGTATTTTTATTGTCCTGTAAACAACAACAACAGCATCAAAACTGTATAGTACAGATATAAATAACGTCTCATTTAAGACTTTATTGGCAAAAATCAACTCATTCTGAATATGATACATTTTAACTTTTTGGGCAGGATCTTTATCTTAATGACACTCTGCTAAACCACTGAGGCGTAACTATTGTGTTTGTTAACGCTGGAGTGTCAAGCAATCTTAAAACACATCAACAAACATCTCCTTATACTGTCTGATAAATGATACATCCAGGAACAGATGAGAATTTCCCAGTTTTCCTGATGAAGCCAGCGGTAGCATTTAATGACTTCCAGGCAGGACTTTGTTCCAGTGCATTGTTTACATCATTAACATAGACACCATTTTTCTGGGTCGAGAACATTGCGGAGAAACACTTTATCATCTGCTCCTACTATACTAGTTGTACATACTGATTTGGTCAAAATGTAGTATGGGAAGAACCGCCAAATCCTCAGTATAGTAAATAATACCCGGATGTTGTACTGATTCTGGAAAAATCTACAGTCATCATCAGACCAGTCTTCCTCGCGTACAAGGGAGATAATTAACTGCAGATAACTAACCACCTGTTTTCTACTGTGCAAGTAGACCATTTTTCCTGCATACACTAAAGCCTGCTGAAACTTATTGGACTACAAACGTACCACAAACAGAAGCCAGAACACTTTACATGCTGAAACTCCAGACCCCCACGTACAGATTCTACATTTCTAAGTAACCCCTGTTAAGATTGGAGTGTCCAGAGGCCCTGCCAGCTCTCCTCCTGATGGAGTTCGAAACAAATTGTCCTTATCTGCACACACGCTGGCATCTTGTCTTTCTTGCAACCCGAGGTGAATGTGGGCCAAACCCAATAAAGACTACATTGTATTATAGTTGAAATCTGATTTGAGCTCATTCTCTTCATTCTGTTGGATTGATAAATGGTGTGTGAGGCGGCTGCAACAACAGGGTGACTTATTAGAAATCCCCTGAATATATACACGAGCTTGTTCACTGCCAACATGGTCTGAAATGGACGTTTTCATTCTGCTTCTACATTTGAGAGTGTACCTGGTCACAGTTTTTATTTCATCCCTATATCCCCCATTTTCCTCTGCAGTTATTTTCAGTATTTCAACAGCTTGTGTCAGAGTGCAGCACAGCAGTATACAACAGTGTCATCAGCGTAACAATAGAAGGTAGCATTTGACACATTTTGACCTAGATTACTCACATAAATAGTGAATATAAGGGGACCTAAAACAGAGCCCTGTGGCACGTTGTGGACAGATATAACATCTGAGCATAGACCATCATTCCTAATAACAGAATCTGTAAACAGAGAAACTTTTTGAGCTAAATGTAATCTCATGTTGTGGCCTAATTTGAATGCAGATGTTACCTATTGTTTGTTCATTGTCAAGAAGATGTCAAATATGTTGTTTGAACTTGAAACAATGCCATGTTCCCTCTAGATTTTTTACTTTACTGTATTTTCTCGTGTTAATCAGTCAAGACGCCTTGAGATATTTATTAAACTCTTCATTTATATGATTTATCCTAGACTAGAACACAGAAGTGCAACATTATAACAGCAATTGAGCTTCCCACCCTGAGCACGATGTCAAAAGAAAATGGCCTCTATGTGAACATTGTCCATTTTTATAAACCCTCTGTAATTTAATTTAAAATGAATCTGTGTTTGTGTCAGCAGAAGACTCTCGACCACATCAGGGACCTTCACCTGAGCCCGCCCTGGAACTCAGCACGCAGAAGAAATGAGTATTAAACCTGTGACGGAGAGAGCCATGTCATTCATAAATCTGTAAATATTTAAACTTCAGTTAAAAACTGTGACTTGTTGTTGGAGACTTGAAAAAAACGTCATGTTTTGTGACTAAACTTTGATGAAATTATGAACAATGCAGAGAAACATCAGACCGTTATCCATCAAATGACCTCATTATAAATGTTTTTCTGTTCACTCTGGAGGGAAATTGTATTTTCGACTGTTGAAGACAAATCAATTTGTTTGTACCATTACAGTCTATTAGTTGTACACTTGAAAATCACTGTTTTTCATCAAGGCACGGGACCTTCTGTATAAAAACAAACATACCCATTATCGTCCAGAAATTGAAAAACTGCTCTCAACAACAAGGTGAGAAGAAAAGCTGAAACACTGTGAATTTGTGGAAAAGTTTTCAATAAATTTGCTATGAAAATGACAGCACTGCCCTTTGTCCAACCATCCTTACATCCATCCTTACAGCCATCCAGCCATCCATTCATCCATCTTTTCATCCATCCATCATACATCTTTTCATCCATCCGTCATCCATCACCCATCCATCTTTTCATCCATCCATCATCCATCACCCATCCATCATCCATCCATCCATCCATACATCCATATTTCATACATCCATCTTTTCATCCATCCATCGTTTGATCCATCCCATCCATTCATACATCCATCCAGCTGCGTGTTTATAAACCTATCCATGGTTTGTCAGGTCCGAGCTACTTTATAGGCTAGGATTATTTTGTCCATGTGTTGGGGGGACCTATATATTTTAGTCAAGTAATGAATAAATAAACAACTTTGTTAACGCACAAATCCAACCAAATCGACAAGCAGACAGGTACACATGGAAAATGTCACACACACACACAGACACAGCGACGCCTGCACAAATGCACAGTCAATGCTGCCAGTGCACACCCACCCGCCCTGTATCTGACTTTGATCAAAACTTGATCTGAAAGACAAAAACAAGGGTAAAAACAAAATAAAACAGGAAATGACAAAACACTAAAATGAATTGACGGAAAATAAATACATGACTTCAAGTTACTTGATGGGTTGTGTCAGTTACATTAACATGTTATGACATCAGTTAGCAAGTGACCTCGATAACAAAGATATTCACAGCTTCAACCTGCACGGGCCAATAGTACTCCAATCGGTCAAGACCGTTTTTGAGATCACTTTTTGAAAGTCTTGTCTCGGAATCAAAAGCATTTTGACTCGGTATTGTCTTGGCCTCACTCATGCTTACACACACAGTTACTCTCCCACCATGCTGACTGCAGATACGACCGAATGGACAACTTTGTAAATGAAACGCTCATTGCTGAGGAATGGCGAAAACATTTTTTGCATGCAAGGACATCGTTGTTGACTTTACATGCTCAAGACAGCTGTAATAGTGCATTTTGCGTCTTGTGTAGACGGGATTATTGTTTTAAAAGCAGAAGGAGGAATTAGAAAACACCCGCCTGCGTGTGGACTTGGCTCAAGAGGCACAGCAGTCCCAACACCTAAAGCCTCTCCCCTCTGTACTGAGGCCAGGTGCACCTTGTTAGGTGATCAGTAGCTCCACCTGGGCAGAGCTGGAGACAACAGGAGAGGAGAGGAGACAACAGCACAGGGAAACATACAGCTGTAACAAGGTGCTTTTACAAATTCCGGAGTCAATGTAAGTTGTCCAGCTCAGACTGGAAAGAGGTCCTGGTTTTGTAAAAGCAATGTTCTGCAGATGAGTTATTGACCCGGGAGGGCAGAATCTGTGAATGGATGCTTCCGAATTGCAAAGTGCCTCCACAGTCTGACAGTGGTCAGACGGTCCCTTCTCTCCGTGTTGTATCCTGTTGGGACCTGTTCAGTAGGCACGCACAGTAAGTTGATATTTGTTCCAACTTCGTCTGATTCATTCAGTGTGGAAGTGGCGTCATTAGCCCGCCTTATGTTATTGACACTCCAACTCAGATGTGATCTGCACGATGGCTCAGTAAATAATACAAAACTTCACATTGCATGGAAACAATTCAACAATTTGAAAAGCACGTTACCCGTAACCAGCCGCATCCGTTTTTATTTGTTTTGATTCAGAGGCGCATGTTAAAGGGGCTATATGTAACATTTAAAAATTCTGCGTTTGTAGCGACACCGCATGGCCGTTAGGCAAGCTGCACCAGTTACCTGTTGCTCGCTCTCCCTCGTGCTCGTACGTACACAAACGAGCATCATCATTGGTCGCAAAACACTGGATATTTACCGGCAAAATATTCAGAGGAGGTAAGTGGTCATACACATGTGAAAGTCTGTGAAGGAGTCTGTGTGTCTGTATTCATTCTCCATCCTACAAACGACAGTCTCTGCAGGCACTGGCTGAGAGCAGGAGTGTGTGATGAGTTTGTCCGCCTTTGAGAGCTCTTAGAGCGGATAGAAGTGTGTGGAAGACGGCCTCTGGCTGTGGAGGTGAAGACCGGCAGTGTGTGATGAGTTTGTACTGTTGATCTCTGTAAGTGGAGCGGAGTGAGGAGGACGTTGAGAACGTGCATAAAATGTCACTTCCTGGAACTTTTGCCGAAAATACGACCCGGGGAAAGATTTTATACAGGCAACACAGACAGTGAACATCTACTTTTTCACATCAGTTAACTGTTCGCTTATTAATGGGCAATAAAAAACTATTTCCACATGTAAAAAGCTACATATAGAACCTTTAAGTGATGTTTTACATTTAATTTCACACAGCCTTGTGGAAGTTAAAATACGACTCATTTCCTGAAAGGATGCATCGGATCCATACTGCACAAAACCTGGAAGTTTGCAATCATCCTGAAATGTTCAGTTTACTGAGGTGGACGCAAAAAATGCAGACTGAATGACCACGAGGGTTCAGTCTACTGAAGTCCACACTCCATACTGAACTGCGGCTTTTCAGAAAGGGCCAATATCTTTCAAACTTAGCAAGGGTTCTTTATCACAGACGTTAACCGAGTTATTTGCATGCTACATTTTAAAACAGTCAAAGAAACATTGTACATAAATGAACCCTGCGTGCGCAGAATGAGCTGAATTCATCCAAGTAACCATCAGATTAACCTCTGCCTCTATGAATGTACCAGTCAGTATGCAGCTGCTGCCTCATAATGAGCACCAGAGAGGCCCCTGGGCTGGACCAGAACATATGCTCAAATCTCCGTCTTTACTTCATGTACAAATTAGAAATGAAGGATTTTTATTCTCCTCTCTTGCAGTCGGCTTGAAGCTGCTTTAAAATCCATTAGATATTTAAATTGGACTTCTCAATTTATTGCATCTACCCTGGAAGGATCTCAAAACTCTGAATATGCATGTTAAAAACACGGTGTAGTGTTTTTATCACAAATTACTAAATAAATGACTTGATACATGTCTTTCTAAATGTCTCCACTAGATGGCGCAGCTGCATCACTGTAAAAACAGGAATGGCAGCTGTCTCCCGTTAGTGAAGCCTGATAGATTTGCCAGATGTTCACTGGGACCTCCAACAGAACTGCTCTGAAAATGTTGATGTCTGCAGACGCCGGGGCAGAAAACACAGAGTGTGCAGATTTACTGTAATGGTCTTTAATATGCCTCTGTGTCTCGGGCGGTACCATTACATGGAATGATCTCACTGTAATGATGTGACGGAAATAATTAGGGTTTCAGTGAGAAAATAAATTGCCAGACAATTTAAATAAACAATCTGGTGAAATATTTGTTATTCTTTTTATCGCTATGAAAAAAAATTGATATGTACTCACACTGATATGTACGTTTTCTGACTCTCGCGTGCGTGCGTGTGTGTGTGTGTGTGTGTGTGTGAGTGATGTGCTTTGTGGGTGTGCAGGGAGGATTTGGATTGCAACAGAGGTCCACACAGGCAACACTTCCTCAAAACCGCACAGAGACACAAATACATATAAAACAAAACTACCATGGATATCATCATGATGGACGTGAGTGAGATAAGGAACACAAAGACAAACAGTACATAGTAAAAGTGTACAGGCAATGCCTACAGATTATTTAACAAACCCAACTGCTGATGGAACAAACCTCAGGTATCTGTTAGATTTGACCCTCCTAACAGAAGTGAACCTCCTCCCTGTCTGCAGGAGTCTAAACTCTGCATGCTGAGCGTCTTCCAAGCCTTTGCTTTCTGAGGCTGGTAGGTTTTAGGGTCAGGGAATGTGGCTTTGGTGTTATCTGGTTTTATTAACTCTTAATCATGTTTTGTATCGTTCGTGTGTCTACTGACTGCAGATGGACTCAAGCTAACAGGTGAACTCTGCTGCGATGCTAACCCTAACACTAACCATCTGATTTAATGAGATAAATGCATACTTTGTAGATGCTCCCTGACAAACTAAACTGAACTAAACTGACAGAAAATCTGCTACTGATTTCTCTGAAATGTCAAAACTATCTCGCATTGTGTGGGTGCTGGCAGACTCGTGGTTAGTACACACGCCTCGTGCAGTGGCTGTGCTCCTCCAAGCCGTCTCCCCTGGGTTCAGGTCTAACTTGTAGCTCCTTTCCCCCCATGTCATTATCCACTCTCTCCTTTCCTTGATTTCTGACTCCATCTATCCTGTCTCTAAAATAAAGGCATACAAAAAACTCTCCCTCATTGTGAATATTTGTTGTAGAAAATGTGATAAAAGGCGATTTCTTTAGGGTGCTGCAAATTGTCTCGTGTGACACAGACCCAGCGGCAGCTACAGGCATAAAAAAATAGTCCGTCTTTTTTTCTGACGGTCTGGTAAATGATAATAATAAAAGTTGATTTCAGTCTGTTTCATTACCACATTCAGAAGTCCTCACAGGAGCTTAAAGGCCATTTACTGAACATACTGCATGAGTAAAAAAGCTTTTATCATATTACAAACCTGACATGTAGTGCAGGGTACATCCTTTAGCTGCAAAGTCAACTAAAATGCATACTCCATATTCTTCATATTAAAGTACACATTTATTCTAACATTTCAGGCAGACAACTCACCCAACCTGTATTTATTTAAATATTTATTGCAGCAGCAGACAATAGTCTTTGTTCAGCGTGTAGGCTCCATGGCATCCTGCTTGCAGCTTTAATTAACATGCAGAAATGAGAGGAGTGATGGGATGATATCTTTAAACCCCCCCCGATCGGAGTCTAAAGGTGGATGCTGGATGCATGGTGTTGCTGAGCGAGAGTGCAGAACGGGTGCAGGTCAGAGCAGGCGATGAAAGAGCAAAGAGGGAGAGAGCAGAAATCTTGTAGCCTCAATAGAGCGCTAATTGGACGGAGGTGTTGTCAGGTGATTTTGCATAATGACACACGTGTCAGTGCAGCTCGAGTTGAATGCCTGAACTCGCTCGCAGGCGTCGCAGAACATGCCAACATATGGCAAACAGATATTTTTGACAGT